GTTAAAATATATATATATATATATATATTTCATATATGAAAAAAAATTGCTGCCATGGTAATGTCCCAATGAAGCAAAATACCCTCGTCTACATCTATATAATACATCTGCTTGACATAATTTGCTAATTCATAACACACAATATTTGATCTTCAAAAATATGACATTTTATTTTTACGAAAAGTTGTCTTTCTAAAGCAATATGGGGAAACATATAATTTCTACTTTATTGCGTAATGAACCATATAACAGGTTCAGATTTGCAACTTTAAATACGAAGCTAATTTGTAATTTTGACAACATTTAAAAATAACATTTAACATTTTCTAACCTTTTTCTTTTCTGTTTTTATTCTTTCTTTTTTTTATTTTATATTTTTTATTGAAAATATGTTCCAATTTCCGCAGAAATATATATATATATATATAAAGAAAGGAGAANACAATTAGACAAATTACAATATTAAAATAATACAACTAACTTTAAAATATTAAATCAAGCAAAGCTTATGACTTTGCATTGGCTCGCCCCCCCAGTCAAAAAAAAGTTGGCACGCCACTGATATATATAAAGAAAGGAAAAAAAAGTACATGAAGAAAGAACCTTAAAAATCATCTACTAAAGGAAAATCTCATATAAAATTATAATGAGATTTGATAGATGTTTTAATTTTCGATTACATTAGCTTTAACTAAATACTATCTTCTTTTTCTCAACAAGGAAAATAATTATAAATTTAACTTCATCGTTCAAACATGCAACTTGTTTTTCCATTTTATATCTAATGAGGAAAACGAATGATACAAGATGTTTATTTTGACTATTTTAGCTCTATCATATTTCAATAAATTAACAAAAAAACAAAACACTTCAGCTGATTAACGAATAAAAAGAATCTTTGTTTGACGTTGAGCGCTTTCTTCGAGGGAAAATAAATCATCAATATTCAACTAAATTCTTAATCCTTAGATGATTATTATTTCCTAAACAATATTATTAACATTACGTTATTTTTCAATCTAATTTTCAAATTCTTGAATAATTTTTCGTTTCATTTCTAGTTAGTTTCGGATTCGAATGAAATTCTGGTAGGAACGGATTTTAACTTTAACTGCGTGTGAATCTTTGAAAACCATAAACAAACATCAATGGCGGCTGGCGCAACAGGTGTCCGTGTTGTATTTTTTGGTTCTCATAAACAACCAAGCTACGTTGTTGAAACATTTATTTCACCAAAGAAAGACCAACTTAAAGAAGGTGAAATATTGGTAAAAATTTTAATATCTACAATATGTTCTTCTGATATTCATAGTATAGATGGTAGAAGAGAAGTTAAAGCACCTTGGTAAATAAATTGTTCAAAATGTTCTAATAAATTTATTTACGATATACTTTGTATATTAATTCCTTCTACTTCTTTTCAGATAAATTTATTAGACAAATTTTTAGTGTTTTAGGTCATGAAGGTGTTGGAGAGGTAATTTTTTCGAAAAGAAACCGTGATGATGTTCGAGTTGGTGATAGAGTTGCATTTACTATGTACAATAGCTGTCAGTCATGTGTAATGTGCAAATCAGAAATGCAAGAATGTTGTTCATGTGCAACAAAGGTATAATTAATATTTTACTAAGTTTGTTACTTCAGCTATATTGTTATTTCCTGTGCATGGTATTGAGCAACTTAGTATGTTATTGCATCCTATGTTTATATCTTTGAGAATTTTCATTGTATAATACTATATCCACTATGTTAATTGCTATTGCATAGTATATAACAATCACTTTGAAGTTGTTAATTGCTGTTGCATAGTAAGTATATTGCAATCACGGTGAAGTTGTTAATTGCTGTTGCATAGTATATTACAATCACGGTGAAGTTGTTAATTGCTGTTGCATGGTATATTACAATCACGATGAAGTTGTTAATTGCTGTTGCATAGTATATTGCAATCACTTTGAAGTTGTTAATTGGTGTTGCATAGTATATTACAATCACAGTGAAGTTGTTAATTGCTGTTGCATAGTAGGTATATTACAATCACGGTGAAATTGTTATTTGCTGTTGCATAGTATATTACAATCATGGTGAAGTTGCCAATTGCTGTTGCATAGTATATTACAATCACGGTGAAGTTATTAATTGCTGTTTATTAAGTAGAAGCGTTTAATACTGTCAGTTTAAAATTGTTAAGTAAGCTGCAAATTTAAATAACTGAAGTAATTAATTTCAATTACATTTAAAAACTTAAGAATACTTGTGGGAAGATTTATTTATTATCGGGATCTGCAGTACGCCAAGTCTTTGCAACATCTAGGCATGTGTCCACGAGAAACTAGAAATGAAAAACATTAGTAATAGTTTGTTGATATACTTGTAATAAAAAATTGTAGAGTTCCACGTCATAAAGATTCTTTATGTTTGCATAAACTGATCAAGTTACTGGCTTTATAATTTTGTTGAACTATTTTTTAAAATAGGGCAAGAAAGCTGGCAAATTATATAAATTGAAAACATTATTCTAGCTCTTAAAACAATCAGTTGAGCACTGTATATTAAAGACTGTGTCATGGTTTGTAAGTTTTGGACAAGTGGCAATTTTAAACTATAGAAATGTAGACAAATAATGTAAATTGAAATACAATTCTATTTTGATCATAAGTTAATTTAAACTCTTAGGTAATTTTCAAGGTTAGCAAATTTCGGATATGTGACTGATTTATTTGATAAAAATTAAGACAGTCTACATAATAAATTGAAAAATAGTACATAGATCTCAAAACACTTGGTTAAGCTTTAACCACATGCTGTCATATCAAATATCTTCGAATATTTTCTTATAATCATAAAAATTGACATCTCAAAATAATGTGTCTATAATTTTTTATAAACAGTTAACCCATTAGGTGCCGAAGCTTCCATTATGAGCACAGCTACTCTTAATTTTTTCTTTCTTCCCTTTCATAGATTAAAATAAATTCTATTAATATATCAATAAATAAAAGCCATAAAAATATTTCATTAATTTTCATGAGATTTAAAAATATTTAATTAGTATTCAAATTTTATTATGAAAATAGACTGAATGAGAAAAAATGTGACTTTTTTTTTCCATTCACTTATTTGAACAAAATTCTTAAAAATAATTATCACTGTAATTGTGGTTAATCTTTAGAAATAAGTAATCTTCAACCTGTTAAAAACTGATTCCAAAAAGTTATTATAAGTAGTTTATAACGACGCCCTTGTTCGTGTGTCCTAATATGAGAGCTTTGGCAGGAAGTCTGGGAAATGAGCAAATAAAAAGAAAACTAATAATTTTTTTCTTTTTTTTTTGTTCAAAATCTTTCTTTCTGGTTTACATGTTCATTATTAAATGCAATAATTCTAAAATATGTCATTTGTCAAAGAGGTGCCTAATGTGTTAAAAGTACTAATGTTATTGTTTGTATTTTTGTGATATAATATGAATTTTGTTTTGAAAAAGTTACGTGGTCTAAAAATATTTATTATAGTACAGTAGGGAACCGATTATCCGGAACGATCGGGACCATCACTATTCTGGATAACTGATTTTTCCGGTTTTCTGAATCGCTACAAAAAGCCGTTCTTTTTATTGTTAAACCCAACTAAAAAAAAATTATTTGGAAATAATCTTGAAAAAACGAAGCAATACACTAATGATTATTTCCAAAATGATGGTAAGGTAAACATCTTTCAAAAAAGAAAGAAAAATCCTAAAAGCTTATGAGGAAAAAAAAATTTTTTTTTTTAAAATGGCGGGAAAATTTATCGAATTTCGTTCCGGTTTTTTGGTTTTTCGGTTTACTGATTTCCGGATAACGGGTTCTGCACTGTATTATGTTAAAGAACTTTTTTTCCAAAAAACTTTAATGTTTTAATTTTTTAAAACAAAATTTTTGCTGATTCAACTTTTCAACATGCTTGCAAATGGAATCATTTGGTTTATTTTCAATTAACCATGCTTAAAACAGATTTATTACAGTTTTATTATGCAATTTTATTTTTTAATAAATACATTTAGAATGAGTTTAGAAACAATATCATCTTTTTAAAAAGCAAATACTTATACATTATTTTTTTTTTAAAAAAGGAGTATTGATTTTATATTATATTAGTAAAGTAAAACATTCTCAACTACAGCTTGTGGGGGATTAGGATTATTGCACTTAAGATTCTACAATTTGTGAATGACTGAATGCTAATCGCAATAGGAGGAACAGACTGCCTTTACATCCCATTTGGTCACTTTTATCTGTAGTTGCGCTTGTTTTTGAATCTTAGTGTTTCATTTATGATAGCTCAGTGCTTTGACCACATAGCCATGGCAGCTCTTATTATTTTATTAGATTGGCTAAAAATGTCACAAATTATTTTGTGCAGTCATTCATTTTTGAGTATATCATATCAGCAGGGGTCTGTCCAGACATTTTATGAAAGGTCCTGTTTTCGTAAAGTTGTGAAAAAGCTATTAATAATTTGAGAATATAAAATAAGCGTTAAGTAACATTCTTTCAACCAGAGTCAAACAAATTTTGAATGTCTGTCTGAGGAAGAGCTTTCCGTATTGCTTGTATGCGTACCCAAAGTTCGTCTGTAGAAGCATCAGGATGAGGATCACGAGCGAGACGCCGACCAACGAAATCCCACACATGTTCAATCTGCAACATATCCGGGGAATACGCAGGCCAAAAAAGAAGCTGTGCCTGCCGCGATTCAAGGAAGAATTGAACAGTCCTAGAAAAATGAGGGCGGGTATTGTCCTGTTGAAATACAGCGCCTGGCAAGGCTTGAAGGAAGGGAACAGCTTGGGGCTGTAGAACTTCACTGTTGTACCGGTTGCTGTTCAGATTACCCACAATTCGTAGCAATTGAGATCGTCCATGATATGCTATGGCCCCCTTAGACCATAACTCCGGGTGTTCGTCCACTGTGGCGTTCGATAATACACTCCGGAAGGTGGCGTCCGACATAGCATCTGACACGAATGCGGCCATCATGGTACCACAAATTAAAGCGGTATTCTTCAGAAAACACAACACGCTGCCAATCAGCACGCCAGTCCCTATACTGATTGGCCCAGTGTAGCCGCAGGCGGTGATGGTTTAGCGTGAAGGAGATCCTGTATAAAGGAAACCTTGCACGCAGCAGCAGACGTCTACGAATTGATGAAGCATGCAATGAAACACCTGTAGCTATGGACCACTGTGCTGCCAGTTGTCTAGAGGGAGCTGTACGGTTTGTCAGCGCCATGCAGACCAGGTGTTCATCATCGCGAGCGGACGTGACATTTCGGGGTCCACTTCTGGATTTCCGAGTTGTCCGACTCTCGTCCGTCCACTGCTTCCAAGCACGCATCACTGTGCAGCTATTACGCTGCACACGAGCGGCTATTGCACAATACGACAATCCAGCTTCATGAAGACTGATGATTCTCCCCCATTCAAACTCCGTAAAATGTTGAAATCTCACTCTCTTTCGTCGAAGAGGCATAAGTAACGACTGAGTTAACGTTTACCACTAGTAGATAACCACCGATAACCATACACGCCTCGCTACAGCCATCTATTTATTCGGATCTATCCGCCGTTCAAAGGGCGCTGCTCCGCATGCGCTACGGGTCTGAAATTCTAATCATTTGCATATCATGCTCTACTTTGCATTTCCTGAAAGTTTCAGCTCACTCGCGTAAGTCCTTCATGGTGTTGCAATTTTCACAAACATAAGTTTAGTATATAACAAATTAACAATAGTTCTTGAAAGGGGTAAATTGATATATAATTATTACTCATTATTTATAATGCATCAATATTTCCTTATCAATAATTCTCCGAATTTATTGCTGGTGTATAAGTCGATCCTTGATTTTTGTACAATTTGATTTATACGCTGGAGTGAATGGTACATAATAATTTTGGAACAAAAATTTTTTCTTTGTTCTACCATCNCAAAATCTCTCACATTTTTAATAATTTCAATTGACATATTTTAAGTAACAATACTTAGTAATGTATCACTTTTAATGTGTTACGCATTAAGTAAACTTAAACAATTCTTAAATTCATAATATTTTATTTAAAAAATTGCAAGAAATTTATTTTTATTTGCATAATATTCTATTTATTTTATGAATAAATATAAATTGATCAGTTATTTATTTACAAGAAAAAAAAATTATGATTTAAAAATAATAAGAATGTGCACACTATGTTTGTAAGAGTAGAAATATTTTCTTAGAATACTACATTTGGAATTTAGACTTAGGGGGGAAACTTATTTTGTCTTGAACTTCCTTGTCTTGAACCCCCCCACCCCCGGGGAAGGGTTTATTCGATTAACAAACCAATAATAAAGATAAACAAATTTGTGAAAGGTCCGATTAAAAGATAAATTATTTTGTGAAGGGTCCGTTTTTATGATAAGATATTTTGTGAAGGGTCCGTTTTAATGAAAAGATATTTTGTGAAGGGTCCGTTAATGGACCCAAATTTCTTCTAAACAGACCCCTGATCAGTTTTTTTTTTTTATTGCCTATACTGCGTCATAATACAGTATATCCTTGTGCATAAGTCGACCTCTTATTTTTGATTACAAGATAGCAAATTTCTGGTATGTCAGGTGCATAAGTTAACTGCTAAAAAACCAAATTTTTCTAAAATTAAAAAATATCAAAATTATTTGGCATACAAAGTTTTATAAGTTAAAAATATTTCCCGTTATAACATGTCACACAAATGATGCTAGACATGTTCCAAATTATTCTAAAATCTTTAATGTGTGGAATTGCGAATTCTTTGAATCCTGAGGAGTGATGATGATTTTTTGTGGGACTCAGTAGTTGAGTATGAAGTAGAATCCAGTGTAGAATGGGATCCGTATAGTGATAATACTACTAATGTTATCGAATCCGGCACAGATTTCTAGAATCATTAAATTTTGTAGCTTTATCATATATTTTAAAAGTATGTTAGATTTTTTTTTTTGAAATACTCTTGAATAAACTGTCTTAACTTTACCTATCCTGGTATTTTTTTTCTGAAATTATTGTTCCTAAAATAAATCTTAAAATGTGAAGAAAATATGATGAGAAAAAAGGCAAAATTAATAGTATATAACAAATTAACAATAGTTCTTGAAAGGGGTAAATTGATATAGAATTATTAATATCTATCTCATTATTTATAATGCATCAATATTTCCTTATCAACAATTCTCCGAATTTATTGCCGGTGTATAAGTCGATCCTTGATTTTTGTACAAATTTAGGAGTTTGAAATGTTGATTTATGCGCTAGAATGAATGGTACATAATAATTTTGGAACAAAAATTTTTTATGTTCTACCATCTATAAATTGACATATAATTTTTTTCTATTGCTCTTTAACATTTTAAAATAAAATTAATTTCATCTGTTTTATTAATTTATTAATATAATATTTTATAAAATAATATAATATTTTAGTAAAATAATATTTCATATATTTTTTAGTATGGAACATTAAGTTTAAATGATGGAACTGGATTAAATGGTTGTTTTGCTACTCACATGGTTCTCAGAGCAAGGACAGACGTTGTTCCAGTCCCTTTAAATGTCTCTGATATAATTGCTAGTCCTGCTAATTGTGCTTTATCAACAATGGTTCATGCAATAAGCTTTGCCTCATCTACAACTAAGCTTAAACAATCTGTTGCCATTATTCAAGTTAGTAATATTATCCTTCTTTTTAAGAATGTAATATTTTACTTATTTAATTTGTTCCTTCGTGAAGCCTGTATTTTTATTGTAAATATGTGAAACTAAGGCATTTTCACATATTTTTTATCTTTGTGACAGACTTTATTTATTACCTTTGTATTACATTGCATGTGTATTAGTGTAATGTTGTTTGTAATAGTATAGCCACTTTGTGTTCTTTTGCTAAAAAAAACTACATTTAATAAATCTTGTATTTGATTTAAATATTTTTACTTAGCTCCCCAGATTTCTACCCCCGAAGTTCTAGTAGGTTTAAATAACTGTTTATCAATGTGTATTAAGATTTTTTTGGGCACTTATCGATTACAGGTACCATAGGTTGGCGACGTTCCTTCAAAGTTGTTGCCTACACGAAGATCCAATCCTTATAACAAATAAGTGTCAAATTTGAAGATCCCATAATATATAAATAGTAGAAAAATATTCATATTTAACAATAAATCTACATGTTTTTCTAACATAAATAATTTTTATTACATGGTGCGTAGCATTTTTTAATGGTGCTTATTTTCGATTTCCAATTTTTAAAAGCCTTTAAAGGTGCTTTTTTTATTGGATGTTTTTAAAAAGTGCTTGATTTTCCCTTTTCAAAGATAGATTTTTTTTTCTTTACCATGTCAATTTTCGCCACATATTATGCAAAACCATGCTTTTCACATTGTTCTATTCAACGTTTTCACAATTCATTCAGCTATCTATTTCAGCGTACAATCGGTCTATAACGTATGAAAGCTCCAATCATTTGACATGTTTGATGGAATACTTGCGAGTCAGCATGTGCGTCTGCTGAGCTGGGTTTGGTGAGATTATTGTACTCTCGTGTGCAACTCTGCTGCATTTTGCAAGATATTTTCGATTTCAGGCTTCATTTTTCCACCCTCTGATATTAAAACGAAAAATCTCTTGATCATTTTATAATGACTAATATAATCATGAAAAGAGTTCTTTGTCAAAATCTAGTTATTTTATCATGATCATGTAAAGTCTTTGTAAATTATTTTGCATTTTGTTAATGTATATAGTGCTTAAAAATATTTTTGAGTGCTTAAAAAGCACTTAAAAGGCTCTTATGTTTTGTTGATAGATTTGGCTACACACCCTGTATTATTTTTACATTGACTTCTATATTTTCCTTATCCAAATAAGATTTATCAACACTCTCAATAATATCGTATTTACAATGTGTCCATGCTCCTGGAATGTCATTGAGAATCATCGAAAGTCATGCATTTTAACTATGATCGAAATTTTTCATAGAAAGTCGTGATTTTTAGTGATAAATGCTAAAGAATTATGGAAACTTCCAGTTCATCATGGTTTGTTAATATTGGAGTCCTTAATCCTGTTGCACAATTTAAAAATAGCATGTTGTGATCCATATTCTTGCAATTTTAAAAATTACATCATAATCTGTATTCATACGATTTAAAAATCAGACTGCATGATCCATATTTGTGCAGTTTAGAAATCCCTCATCACATTCCACATTCATGTAATTTAAAAATCACATGTCGTAATACATATTTGTAAAATTTGAAAATCAGTGATTAAAAAAATCACACAGTTATATTATTATTCGTTCAATTTAAAGTAATTTGAATTTACATGATTTAAAAATTTTAAATTGTGATCAATATTTGTGCGATTTAAAAATTACTACTCGGGTACCATACTCTTGCAATTTAAAAAATTACACATCATATTCCATATTAGTTCGATTTTAAAAGCACATAGTGCTATCCCTCTTTATCCGATTTAGAAAAATCACACATTGGGATTTGTATTAAGTTGACTCAAAAATCGTATGACGTGATTTATATTCGCATGATTTAAGTATCAAACATCGCAATACATATTTGCACAAAATAAAGCATTGTACTTTGGGATGTGATTTAAAAATCATAAATTGTAATTCATATTCATGAGAATCAAAAACTACACATCCTGATATATGACATAAATAATTAATTATGTTCATTATGCGAACAGGAAATATTGAAAACAATAAAGAATTTTCTTTTCTTGTTCTTGTTCAAAAATTTATTAAGTTTATAATTTTTTCTGTTTAAGATTTAAAATATATTTTTTAAAATTTTATTTGTATTTTATTCTGATTTCATTTAGAAATTAATAAAGTAAAACTTATAAATTTTTATTTTATAATATATTTATTCTTTACCTGTGTGTTATATTAAAATTTTATCTTTTATATTGAAGCAAAAAATTTATTCAGCAAAATTGGTTCGGTGTTTGAGCCTAATACATATTAAAAATTTTAGTAAAACCTATTTTTAAAAATGATTTCAGTTCAAAAAATTTTGAGGTTAATATTATTTTCGTTTAAAGTTAGAAATATTTTTTTTTAGTAATTTAAATTTTTTTTATATATATATTTAAAGTAATTAGATAGTACATGGAATGTTGTTGGTACTTTTGTTTCTTTGAAATTAAATTAACATAATCCCTAGAATTGACCTTTTCGAAAATAGTATATTTGAATTTTATCAGGTAAAATAATTTTAGCTTTGTAAAGTTCTTAAAAGGCATTATTAAATATTTTTAAATCCATGTTTTAATTTGTATGTTAATTACTGTTAATTGTTAGGTTATTTATTTATTTCATTTTGTTTAATGGTTTAGTTTTTTTTATTGTTTTAGTTTAAATTTGCTTATTAAAAAATGTGCAAAGCATTACTCGGATGAAACAATATTGTTTTTAAGAAAGGAAGTTACCCTGGTTTAGATCTTTTATCTGCATTGCATTCATGATATAATTTTTTTGATATGCAATTTTATCAATAATGTTCGCAATATTTTCATATTCAATGTGAGTGGGTGTGATTAATGATCTCAATATTGTCATATTTGATACACTTATTCACCGTTGACACTGACTTAACGCGAAACACCCAGTACCGAAACCACGATTTGGAAACATTGACAACAAGTCAAAAAAAGTATTCTTCATTATTTTTTGACCGTCTGTTTTGCACTCCGGTGGTAGATTTATAACCTTATTAACAGAGTTTGTTTTCAATTTGCTTTGCTATTTTTAAAACAATTTTTTTATTGATAGAAGAAAAGAAAAGATTCTATTGAGTTATTAAATTTGAATCATTCTTTTAGGACAAGTTTAAAAATAATATGTTAAGTTTCATTTTCCTAACTGATTTTAGATTTGCAAAGCTATTTGATGCAGATTACTGTGCAGTTTAAAAGTTACCTCATATCAAAATTTGTATTGATTGCATAGTATTTATTTCAGCATAATTTTTAATATACATAAAATAATGAAAATTTTTTTAATTTTATTGTTAGTTTTATTCTATGGATAAAACAAATTTTAAATGCCATTCCTTATCTTCATATCTAAATACTGCACATTATTTTTCTTGTTCATCTATATAAACTATTTTTTATTTTTGGGCAAGATCTATCATCTCGATAGATATCATCAAGATCTATAATCATTTTATGAATTGTATTATTCTTTTTTAAATTTTATATTTCTTTCAACTTTTGAATTATTACTTCAACTATTCATTTGAATTAGTGGCCACAATCTATATTATCCACGATTTTTTTTCCGAGAGTAAAACTATTTAAGTGCAACAACGACTGCTAATAATAATTTGAGAAATATATAGAATATCTTCTATAGAAGATATTAACTCAGGATGATTTAATTTTCATTTTATTGATAAGCATTTATTTGATATAAACATATTTTTAAATAACTATGCATTTCCTAAATGTGTTTGTATCCTCTGAAACTGCAGCAATGGTTAGAAATCAGAGAGCATTCTGTATTGCTGTTGGAGTTTTTTTTCTATCCTTGATTTAATTAAATAATCAAATAACTAAATTTTCTACTAAACATGTATATATATTTTTATGTGTTGATTGATGTTTTAAATAAATTTCTAGGGTGCTAATTTAATGGGGCTTTATGGATGTGCTCTGCTTCATGAAGCCGGTTTTATTAAAGTCTTTTGCCATGATGTGAGCCGAGAACGCCTAAGATTAGTTCCAAGATTCGGTGGTATTCCAGTTTTAGTTGAGCGAGATTATGGTAAAAAAAGTATTTAATTGTTCATAAAAATGTATTTCTTAAATTTTGTATATTTATTTTAAATTGGTCAATAAATTGATCAACAATATACTATTTCAGTTATCATTGGTATTATTCCTGATAAAAATAAGCACTTAATCATAACTATGATAAAAAAAAATTGATTAAAAAAATCAGTGTTAATATGTTAAGTTGAAAACTTCAACAAAAATTTTATTATAACCAGCATTTTATTTGACTTTACACCCTTGCCATCAAAGCAGAAAGAGCACAAAACCATAATATATGTTGTGGAACATTTTATATTTGGAGCATGCCTCTTTTTTTACAATACAATTCCTCTCCACTTCCTAGTTTGGGAAAGTCACCAAATGTCAGCATTTCAATTTTATAGTTTTGTTTTGTAAATAATGTTAATTGCAGCAATAACTTACTCAAATAAAAAGAAAATTCTTTGCTATTAAATTGTTTACTTTTATTATCAATTCAAATTTTTCTTTTAATGTAGCTGCAATTGAATGATAGAGCTTATTGGGATGATATAGCTTCCTGATCACACACTCTGTTCTCAATAAATAAAAAAAGTCCATTTTTTTATTTAGCATTACTTAAATATCTATTTGTTTTGTTATTTCGGTTCTATCACAATTGCTATGATGGTTGATATCACATACCATATAAAAGCTTTTGTGCGCCCTAAACTAAAGTTTTGAATAAATAGTTTATGAAACTTTTTTTTTTTTTAAATATTCTGAAAATATATTTTTGATAATCAGGAATGAGATTCTTCTGCGGATTCGCGGATTTCTACTTTTTCTCAGATTTTTCCATTTTTCCCGCTAATTTCCCCTGAAATTTTTTTTTGCACAAGTTGAAATATTTTATGAGGAATTTAATTTTCCGCGGAGCGAAATTATTTAAGTCCTCATTCCTCCCTCTGAAGTTTCTCTAAAAATCATTTCCTTCGGATAACACTGGTTGACCTTTATACAGGGATGAATTTTTTTTCGCTTTTGTCTCTCGAATTTCAGCCTTTTTTATCAAAAACTCAGATTCTCTAAAAGTTTCGTTTTTTTAATTTTTATTTTATTTTATTTATTTATAAATATCCCGTTTTTTTTTTTTTTTTTTTTTTTTAATTTCTGTCGTTGAAGTCAAATAATTATATTTATTTACGATTTTCAAAGAAAAATAGAAAATTCAAACTACGTCCTAGCTGCTANTTTCTAGAAAATTGAACTCTTCTTTTAGCTATTTTCTCCGATTTCACGCACAGAAAATAAGATTTTCCGTATTTTTTATCCGTATTTTTTATCCGTAATTCTTATTTACCCTTTTTAAATATCGTACATTATGACTTGTATTTACGAGATTTAAAAATCTAATATCGTGTTTTGTATTTTTGCATTTTTTAAATCGCGATGTTATTATCAAACATCGATTTTCGTATTTACCTGATTTAAAAGTTGAATGTTGAGATTCTTATTCAGGCCATTTAAATAATGTAAATTGCGATTCTTATTTACGAGATTTAAAAAACCAATATCCCGATTTGTTTTTACGAGCTTTTAAAACCCTATGTAGCTACGCGAGCTTAAAATCCAATGTCGTGATTCGTTTTTGCGGTTGTAATATCGCGCGATTTNAAGAAATAGATGATTTTATTAATCTTGAGTAGAAATTTTGAATAGTAATCATTTTAAAGTAATCATTTTGAAAGAATCTCCGATGAAGAAAGATATTGAAGGTTGCTTTTAAATTTCATTTAGTAGGTCACCAATCTGTGGTGATTTCAGCCTTTTTATCAAAAACTCCGATTCTCTAAAAGTCTCATTTTTTGTTTTGTTTTTATAAATATCCCACTTTTTTTTAAAAATTCAGTCGTTGAAGTAAAATAAATATATTTATTTACGATTTTCAAAGATAAACAGAAAATTCAAACTACGTCCTAGCTGCTAACCCCTCCGCATTTTTACTTATATTAACTATTTTTCGTATTTTTTATCCGTCGGCGGGATAACTCGTATTTTCGTAATTTAGACGTCGCTGCTTCTTGTATTCTGGAGTGAAAGCAAATAAAAAATAAAAATAGAGGTGGATTTGCGGTGAAAATATTTATTTGCTCCTTCAATTAATCTTGTAAATTTTTATTTATTGTGTAAACAAAAAAACAATTCAAACAAGACTTTCAGAAATCCCAAGTCCAGACTCTGCAATTATCTCATTTTTTATTCACGCGATTTTAATATCAATCATCGATTTTCATATTTACCTGATTTAAAAGTTGCGCATTGCAATTCTTATTTACCCTTTTTAAATATCGTACATTATGACTCGTATTTACGAGATTTAAAAATCTAATATCGTGTTTTGTATTTTTGCATTTTTAAAATCGCGATGTTATTATCAAACATCGATTTTCGTATTTACCTGATTTAAAAGTTGAATGTTGAGATTCTCATTCAGGCCATTTAAATAATGTACATTGCGATTCTTATTTACGAGATTTAAAAAAACCAATATCCCGATTTGTATTTACGAGCTTTTAAAACTCTATGTAGCTACGCGAGCTTAAAATCCAATGTCGTGATTCATTTTTGCGGTTGTAATATCGCGCGATCTTAAAATTATGCATCTTGATCTAAAAATTATATTCACGTGATTTAAAAGCCTCATATAGGGATTTTAATCACATGGTTTGCAAGTTTAAAAATCGCACTTTTTTTTGTCAAATTTTTGTTTATATATTTATATATTTATTCTTGGATTTCCTCTTTTTTACTTTCTGCCTACTCTCATCCCTGGATATAATACCTAATTTGAAAAAATTTGTCTTTAGATACCCAAATTTTATAATTATCTGCAAAAATGTTTAAAATCTCTTAAAAAGTTTTTGAAAAATGGCGAAATTTGAAAATTAGCATTTTTTTTCCGACTGTGTTCTTGACCTAACTAATAGGACCATATTTCCTAGATTATGGCTGTTCCTATTATTTTGGTGTAACAAATCATAATCCATTGGGAAAAAAGCATGTTTTTTCAGAGAAAGTGTGTCTTTGTGTCTGATTTTGTAACTTAACTAATTAAAATAATTTCATAATTGTCATTTGCACTAACTTAATAGCATTCTTGAGGTCAGCCCCTAAGACCTGGCCATTTTCATTCAATGTTTCTGTTTTAAATTTGTAATGGTATACTTAATTTTAAAAACTTTTTTCTTCATTTAATTATATTTATTAATTATTAATACTAGTGCAGATTTAGCTTCAATGGCAGCATCAAATCTTGAAATTTGTGAGATATACATATTAGAAGTATTTATAATATTTAGTATTTCCCAAAAGTATGACTTTGTTCATAAAAGATAGAGGAAATAGGGGAAAAAAATATGCCTCTTCATTATGTCTAAGCCTGATCACTAAAATTTCTTTTCTAAAAATTTATAACTGGCAGAAATAAATTATGCCTGATTATTAAAAGTTGTTTATCACAATGGCTACTTATATTTGTTGATCTATATTTTAACAATCTATGCATAAAAAAATCTGAATCAGAATTACTGTGAGTCATTTTCATAATTATCCTCCGAAAATTCCTTAATCATCAGACATCTTTTTTTCCAGTTCTTAATGTTAAGTATTTTGTGATAGTGTTGAAAGCATTCAATGTATCATAGTTTTGGTCTTGTAGTGTTCCGTTAATCATAGCCACCAATTTCTGTGATTAATAGACATTACTAGTCAAAACTCCTGCATTTTGTTTACAATTTGAGTTTTATTTATATCTGCCTGATTCAATGTGCGGTTAGCTACTAGAGAGCCAGGTTATCAATTTCTATGTCATACCCATCTTTGTACGTCATGGTTGAGAATTTGCATAGAATTTGGAAACAGATGTAATAATAGTAGTGTACATATGTTAAAGGTATGTGGGCATCAACATTCATCTGAAAGTTAAATAGAGTTGTTACTTCAACTTCAGTTCTTACCCATTATTTATTATGTATCTAATGTTATAATCATCATTGTTTTCCATCATTATATTTAATTTATTATCTATTTTTTTGTTTGTCATGTTTGCATTGTGTGGTGTTAATCCTTAAAATCATGTTGGAATCTATGCCATAAGCCTTGATTTACATACAGTAATGTTAGCCTCCAGTCTGAACCATGATTTCTTTGCAGTCAGCAGTGTATTACCATGATCACTTTATTTTTATGTTTTTGAAAAATCAAGTGAACTATTGAACCATTTTAGAGTAGGTGCACCACAGTCTTTCTCTACCTCGTACACCAGTGTTTCCCAAATTGTGGTACGCGTACCCCCAAGTGTACGGGAACAGTTAAACAGGGGTAAGCGTTCTTATGCGAAATATCTTGCAACAAACGAACATTTAAAAAAGTTTTCTTTTAAAGCAAAGCTAGCCATGAAAATTTACAAGTACGTATTTTTCTATTGGCTATTTTTTGCTGAGTTAACATTCAACAATTAGTGGTGACGACAACCAGTTGTGATTTTTAAGTTTTGTGAAGAAGAAAAAAATTTATCATGGCAAAAATAATATCCTCTTCACTGATGAAAATAAACTTATTAACAAAACTTTGTACCAAAAAAAAAGAAAGAAAAAACATATTTTTTAAAAAAAATACATTCATTTTTTATTAGTGGTACACAGCGTTGCGAAAAATTTAGCAAGGGTACACAAAAGTCATAAGTTTGGGAAACACTGTCGTACACGATATGGTTTGACCATGAAAACCTTTCTGGCATTTCTGTTTTCTTCCATTCTGATGAGATGAATTCCTTTCTTTATTTAATTTTGGTATTTGAATTTCTTAGCATCTGGTTCTTTATAGCTTTTATACAGTTGGGATTTGTTACTTGCATGCCGAATTCCATCATTTGGTTTTCCTTTTTAAAGGCTTAAGAGTATTTTTCTTTCAAAAATGGCTAGTATTTCTTCATCTTTCTGGGTGAGTGTCCACTATTTTTGAAGCATAAGTTAGTATAGTATAGGTCAGTAGTTTAGTGAAGCATAATTAGTATAGTGAAGGTAAGTTAGTATAGGTCAAACTAAACTTCTATAAAGCATGAACTCACTTCTTCCTCTAATCTTTTATTATCAGGTATTTATAAACTGGTAACTACTTCAATTTCTACTTCAAAATAACAATAATTTATTTTCTCGCAATATTATGTGCATTATGATTTTGGTAAATTAACATTGTTAAAAGAAAAAAAATCCTAAGAATAATAAGACTTTAAAAAAAAAATTTCTTATTTATTTTTACTTTTTCGGCTCTATTCATCAAGAAGAGGAATAATATCTTCCATGAAAACAAAAGTTTAAATATTCTAAAAAGAATAATTGTACATGGATTAATTTTTAGAGATTACTTTTTATGTAGCATTTAATTTTAATGATATTACTATTATTAATTTTAGTGATACTATTTAGTCATTTTTTATATGAAAGCAACTTTGTTTTAAAATCTTATTTATTTTAATGTTCTTGCAGTAATTGTGGATGTCAATTATGCTGGATATTGCTTTAAATGTCTTTCAAATTTTAACTAAATTTCAAATCCTAATGTGTTTAAACTTTTGTGACATGTTTTTTTTTCTTTTTTTTTACTTCCAGGTAGCTTAAAATTTATTTCAATCAATATTGTTATATCTTTTAAGTCTAAACTATTTTTTAAGATCCCTTTTTTTCTTCTTTTTCATTTTCAGATCATAATAATAATCATGAGCTATCTGGAATTGCAGATCTTATTATTAACGTGTGCAGTACATGGGATGTTATTCCTTATGCCTTACATGCATTATGCCACAGAGGAGTGTATCTTTTTGTTGGAACCACTCATGTTGAACATGCTTCAATTAACATAAATGTAATTCTAAAAAAATGTGTTACAATTAAAGGTAAGTAATATCAAAATTTACTGAATTTAATACTTATTTCATTTTTTTATTGTTTTTGATAACTTTTAATCTAATTACGATTTTAAAAAAATTTTGTATTCTAGAAATTTCATAGTTTTTCGGTTGTTATGTTTAAATGGAAAATATCCATGGAAAATATGCCATAATTATAATATAATTCATGGAAAATATGCCATATTCAGAGAAATATAAAAATAATAATTAATTTTTAAACATAATGGTTTTAATTGTTTGTTTGATTTCAAATTTGATAACTCAAACTATGTTACAGTAGAAGTTCTGTATAACGCAATTCTATAAACTGCTAATTTAAATATGTAGCATTAAGTTTACAATTGATTTTTAAAACTTAACTTAATCGAGGAATTTGTTGGATTTCGTTTCCAATGCATTGAAATAGGGGTGTGCAACCTATGGCCTGCGGGCCACATGCTGCCCGCCAACTGTTGATGTGTGTCCCGTAGGAGCTTCTGAACGCAATAAAAATTTCTTTCAATTTGGTTTTTGTTTAAACATTATAAATTTTATTTAATTAAAATACTTAATTAAAATTTATACGACTCTATAAAATACTTTTTTCTCCCCACTTTCATTCAGTAAGCTTCTTTTTGATAAGAAGTTATATCTCTCCTCCCAATATTTATGTATATATATAAATAAATATTTGATAAATTAATTATTGTGAAAAGTGAAAAAAGTTTTTAAAAAAAGGTATAAGTTTTTTTAGTTTCAAATAAATTCAAATAATTAAAAGTATTTAATTTTCTGCAAATATGTTATTCGGTTTACTGATAAAAATATTTGGTGATTAGAACATTAATGTTTAGATAAAAATTATCATATTTGCTGCTAACATGACTAAATATGCATGCGGCCCTTCGTTAATCTATGTGCTGTGCAAGTGGCCCTTCACTTAAAAAAGTTGTGCACCCCTACATTAAAAAATTTCAATTTTATTCCTGAATAATAAGGACTTAATTACATATTTTTGTGTTTTAGAATATTTAAATTCAAAAATTATTTTCAAGCATTAATGATGACTTAATGTGTAATGTTAATGATGATATAAAGAATAATCTGTTCAATAGATATATTGCCATGTTTAGTAGCTAAGTTTAATGACACGTGGTATGGTCTATGTTGCACAAAATTTTGTTATACCTTTTATAACTTATGTTATACCTTTTAGGTATAGAAGGTTATCAAGTTGACCATCTACAAAAAGCAATGGAATTTTTGTCGAAAACAGTCCACAAGTATCCATATGAATTGTTGACTAGTTCACCATATAACCTTCAAGACTTTCACTCCGCCATTGTTTGTGCTCGTACCAAAAGATATTATAGAACAGCTGTAAGACCTTAAATCATTTTGTTCTAATATTTACCGTAAGCTGGTCTTGCAATTCAATTATTTTACACATTATATTTTAATATATATTTCCTATATATTTAATATATACACAATGCATTTATAATTATTTATAAGCAAGATTTATTTTTGATATAATATATATATATATTACAAATAATATGCATTTGTCAATTTTAAATAAATTATTTAGCTTTTCAGGAGAGTTGTAATTTATATTTTATGAAATGATTGTTTAAGTGTTTTAAAACTTTTATTATTAATGATAGAAAGGTTCTGTTGTAAAAATGTTAATAATCATTTAAAAAAGTATTTTATTTTAAAATTTATATTCTATGAAAGATGAATTATTTTGATAAATTTTAAGAATACATTTTTCTAAATTTAACTACCAAAATTCAATTTTCTATCAATTATTCATATTTATGCAAAAGGTAAGGCTTCTTTTATGAATGAAATAAGAACAAAAATTTAATAACAATTAATTTTAATTACAACAAGTTTGTTGAAGCCACTTTTAATTAATGAAATATAATTTTGAAATTTTAGTTGATCGAGTCATATCAATGTATTATAAGCAATGAGATAGATATTAATAACTCTCTGTCAATTTACATTTTTCCAAAATTATTTTTAACATGTTATTTACTATTAATTTCGCATTTTTCTCATATTTTCTTTACATATAAGATTTATTTTAGGAACAATACTTTCAATTACTTTCAGGAAGAAAAAAAACTACAAATGAGAAAATTTAAGATCATTTATTCCAAACTCTCAAAAAATATAACACAATGAAAGCTTTTAAATTATACCATAAGGCTACAAATTTAAAGGTTCTAGAATATCATCTGTGTTTGTTTCAATAACGTCTGTGTTAACTTACAAGTCCGATATATGGCCAACCAAAAATTATGAAATGCCTTGAGCTCTGGAAAGTAGTGCATAAGAATAAAAATTTTTACTGTTTTACATAAATTAAAACTCCTGGAATAAATAAAACCTAAAAACTTGAGATATAAACACTATAGGAATTATTATAGACAATAAGATAATATTAAAAGTATTAACTATCGAAAAAAATAAAAAGATATATTTTTTTTTATAGCCAAAAGCTTAAATTGCATGTCAAAGACCTGAAATATGATTTTCATCTGAAATATGAGTTTTTTTATTTTTTATAACTCTTAAGATTCTTTATAAGAAAAATATTATTGCTAAATAATATTTCCCATAAAACTTGAGTATTTATAAAAATTTATAAGCTTTTACTGACAGTGTATGTACCAAAGAGATTATTTTATTTGTTTTTTTATTGCTCAATTAAGAATTTACTTTTCAAAGTTGTTATTAAATTCAGTTTAGGATTTCGAGCAGTCATAAAAAACCCTGACTACCTTAAGATTAAATGTTTTGAATGAAGTTATAGTTTGTTTTTCAACATTCCATGAAATATTCTCAAATTATTCCTTTTGTTTGGTAATCAACATTTACCACATATTTCTGAAAATAAAATTATCTATATATGCAAGCAGAAACTATGTTTTTTTTTTGTTTTTTTTAAATTACCTAAATTTCTGAACTTGTATATAAGTAAACTTAAAAAAAGAAAGTCACGTTTTCTTTGTAGATATTTTTCAGCTTTTCTTTTGGAGTCCCCTGCCATCTTAATGTATTTGCTTGCCTTTGTTCAGAAAAAAAAAACATTGAAAGTCCCACCGTAAACTAGAAGATTAAAAAATATTACCTGTTTACTTTTTAATTGTTAATTTTAGGCATTTTATGAGCAACTGTTATGTTATGTATTTTTACGTTTTGTATGTGCTGTTTTGCGAAATTTAGCAATCTATCTTTAATTCCCAATTTAAAGAAAAAGTTTTGGTAAAGTTAACAAAGCCAATTATAAATCACGTTAGCGTTTTAAAATTTTCTGAAAATATTTTAAAATGTACTGTAAATTTTTACTGTATTTGGTGACTATTTCGATTTTAAAAGTAATTTTTTATTCTTTTCTTTATATAGAAATTAAGCAATTTAATTAAGCCGTTTAAGAAATTAAGCTATTTAATTATTAAATATTTGATTACTCTATCTTAATTTTTTTTAATATTTTAATGAACTTGTTTCAAAAATGGATCTTTACCTCTATCCGGGTCAAAAGCCCAATTAATCTGTGAAATAAAATTTCTTTACACCTGTTTGACAAAAACATATTTATTAAATATTCATACTAAAATTAAATACTCAATTAAGGAACACCATTTATGAAAGTTGTGTTACAGCTTTTGAAATCATCAAATTAAAGATCATTTCAAAGTTTAGAATTCATTGCAAAATATAGAATTTACTTGTGCAAATGTATGAAGAAAAGATTATATGTGATATCATTACCATTTAAGAAATGTTTCGGGGCATTTCCTAGCTTTTGGAGCGTTCTTAGCTTTTTAAAAAAATTTCCATAATTCTGCATTTGTCTTGAATTGTAATTACTGTTTAATTTTTTTTCTTTTTTAATATGATCAGCTGTTATGAATTTTATTTAAATTGCTATAAAATACTGAATTATTTTTAAATGCTTCTGTTCACTCTCATACAATAGTTTTATTTTTTTAATAGTTTGTACACATTACAAAATTTTTAATATTTTTTATATAAATGCTAAGACATTGTGCAAAAAATACGATTGTAAATAAAAATCTTGTTTTTTTTCTGTTGTTTTATAGATTAGTTACTATTGAGTTTTTTTTATAATTGCAAAAATTTTGAAATTTCCTTCCTAGAAGTTTAATATCATTATAGTTATTTCCTATGCTGACTCTAATATCCAATGTGTAATGCAGAATACTCACAACTGAATTTCTATTAATATAAGAGAACTAGTAACTAGAATTTTTGAAACTAAAAACTTTTTTATCTTTCAAAAATTAATCTCATAAGAAATATAATAAAAATAAATATCCTAATATATTGTATAATAATAAATATCATATATTAGAAATAAAAAAAATATACCTGTATCGGTATAATAAAAGTGTTTCCTTTCAAAAGAATATGTGTAAAAAATAAACTGTGCTACTTCTATTTAATCTCACTGCCAATTTCAAAACTAATGCTTTTCTAAAAAAGACAGCTCAGTAACAGAAACGTGAAATAATTGGAAGATTAAACTGAATATAGTTTAACCCCTTTAATGCTCGGGAGCTATAACATATTACCTGAATCTTGACCCTGAATTTCTATAAACTCAAGAGATTTGTCTCAATTCAGAGTACAATCTGTTCACATTTCCAGATAGAAAATCCATTTCTCTCATGTTATTCATTGGAATAATGCGCTAGGAAATTTTTGTACATATAACGCACGAGCAACAAAACAGTTTTAATTGTTAAAATTACAGGAACGAAAAACAACTAAAATAAGTAAAATAAAGATTTCTCTGCTTTTCTTTTGCGAATTTTGTCTTTTATTTATCTTATTTTTTTTTTTTATATGCTGCACTTTTATTAGATTTCTGGTTTATATCACTCGCTTTATTGTAATGTAGTTTTTATTCAACAAAATATGAAAAACTCAAAACTTCTATGCTCAACAACCCAAAATTCGCAAATTCTTATACATTCCAAATAATTGAGCTTTTCCTTTTCTTTTTTGTTCCTTTTGCTTTGATAAACATGTGTTTTTTATGCCACGTTTTTAATTCAAAATGGTACTTATTCAACCGGAATTCCGAAATGTAAGTAGTCTAGTTTTAATATATAATATTTTTACCTGCTAGGTATGTTGCGCAGATGCAAGTTTTAACTATATATATATGTGTGTTCTTTTACATTTCTATTTGTGCCTTGTCTTATTCTGATGGTTTTATGACATTTTCATCTACCTTTTGGAAAGGGTTGGTAGGAGTGTTATCAAAACATATCCAAATGCAGATCATTTAATGAGTGATCATAAACATAAAGTAATGATCACAATGTATTACTTCATGAACAATTAATTTTATTGTTATGTTACCTTTTAAATCTACTTTTCTGTCTTCCATGCTGTACTCATCTGCTTTAATATATTTTAGCTCTCTGAAAAATAGGCTACATTTCTGTAATAAAATTGTTTTTCCTTATTATTCAATGATAAAATAGTCCCTAAGGTCCAGGTATGCTGTATTTAAATTTTTTTATATATATTTAATGTACAATTTCATTTTTGATGTAAATTTTATTTGTAATGTCTTAAAATATAAAACATTTTTAAATACAAGAAGTACCATGCATGTTGCCATATTTATTTATGTATTTTTAAGGCATTCTATTATTTTTCTGTCTTATTTCCCCCATTTAATTTTTTTCCCATTTAGTTTGTAAAAATTTTTTTAATTTTGCTACCTCAAATATGGATTGTCATTTGTGTATTCTAGTTTTTAAAAATATTTTTACGGTGCACATTTAGGAATTTTCAACAATTACATTCTAACTTGTCTGATTTTTTTTAATTGTACTATAGATATTGAGCATGTATTTTTATTATAGTTTGTAGGAAAAAAAAAACATGCTTCATATATAATATGCCACAATTACGATTAAGGTGCAGTGCAATATTTCAGTTCTTTTAATGAGTGCCGAAGTTTCAAAACTGGATAAGTATTACCATTTCTGCTTCACAAGTTGTTCAACTTCACATTAATTTCATTTTATATTAAAATTATCTTTACATGTTTTAGTAACTTTAACTTTTATTTAATTATTAAAGTTTTCCTTTCGAAAAATAACCCGAACTGACTTAGCAAATTATTGGTAACTTTAAGATTACATATTTCAAAATTAGCTTCATCCTAAATTTAAAAAATAAGCTTATTCACATATTTATTATGTCTTTTTATTTATTTCAGAATGATTTCTTTAGTAATAAATAAAAAGAAAACCTCAAATTATAGTTTTATAAACTATGTTTCTTTGCAAACTTATTTTCCTATTAATTGTTACATTGAAGTACTAAAATATTAAATTTTGATAAATAAATTCCATAATTTCCTTCTCTAAATTTATATAAATGTATTTGAAAAAAAATTCAATTGTTCTTTTTTGAAGTCATTTAAGGGTAAATTTTTGCATTGGAAAATGTAAGTGCTCTTTCAGGTTTTATTATTATTAATCTATATTTTATGAATTTTCTAATTATCTTTTCAAATTGCACTTTTCTATCAGGTTTTTGTAAAATGAAATTGTAAGACTGATTTGCTAGTTTTATACTTTTATATATCTAGTCTCTTTATAATGTCACAAGTGTGCTAAATGTTCACAAATACTGTATTTTTATAAACAAGTATATTATCTATTTGTTTCAAATAAATAGAGAATTGTAATGCAGTTTCCTGGTTACGTATGAACAATTTATGCATTTTATAACACTATTGTTAAGTAAGGAAAAATAAAGTTATTTAACAATTTTCTGAGCTTATTTATTTTAAAAGCTTATTTTTATTTTAAATTAGAAAAAAATTAAATGGTAATTAGCATTTTTAAAACTGGGTTTTTCAAGTGGGATAAAAAGGAGGAATTAATTTCTACTTTTTTTTTTTTTACTCCTAAAAATGTAGGGAACATCACTTGTAAAAGACATAGAGATGGTGATACTGGCTTTTTAAGTGTTTAAAAATAAAATTATTTTCGCCTTTTTAGTTCACTTTAAAAACTTAGTTTTTAAAATTTTTATTCTTTTTTATTATTTTTCTCTTATTTCTTCTCTTATTTATCTTGAAAATTGTATAAAATTTGGATAAGCATATAATTATAGGTATAAATTTTGTTTGCAGAATTTATGTCCTTCCATATATGTTTTTTTTTTTTTTAAATTTCAGATTAGTAACTTTTAATTTTTGTATATATTTTATTAGTCTATTCATCTAGTTAATTTTGTTGTAATATATTTTTCTGTTTGTATTATTTTCTCTTTTAATCACATTTTTTATCACTTCCATTTACTTCTCATGCTTTTAAATTTCATAATTCAAAATTGGTAAAAATATTTTGTTTCTAAAAATTAGATGTGTTGTTAATGTATAATTTTGATTTTTTTTTCTCTCCATTATAAATTTTGATTTTTTTTCCCTCCAAATAACTGCTTCTAAATGAGATGTGTTTATTTTTTTCACTATATTTGACTTATTTAGTAAATAAGCATAAGCTAATATAATTATGCTATTGACCACACACTTTTAGAATATGGACTAATATTCGCAACGCTTTGTCTTGTTTATGGGTGGAGTAATCTCCTGTCACCATGTAACCGGACAAACCATGTTTGTAATGTTTAACATTTAGTCGGGGGAGAGTAGGCAGAGCTCCCATGGGTCAGGAAGAACTGGAATTGTTAGGGAATTTTATTTTAACTCTAAAAATCAGCTAATAGTTTAGGAAAGTTGCAATTTTGTTCAAAGAACATGGAAAATTCCTATATCATACCTTTGGAAATTACCAGTCTTAGAATTGTCTGTAACAGTAATCAGATATTAAGATTCGAGTTACGTAACTCTAACCATCTATTACAAATTTTTTGCAAAATTCCACGTTTTAGCGAAACTTTTCCAGGTTTCCATTCTTATTCTATTATGTGTCATCTAATATTTGATATTACAAATTAAAAAATTTGAAGATTTCTGATGAAAAACTGGATAAAATGTGGTATGAAATTGCTTGATATACCTAGCATTGCAACTCAATTAATTCAAGCTGCAAATCCGATCTCACTGCTTCATAATTTACGTTGAAAGGCATGGTAAGAATATCTAATGCTGTTTGGACGGCACTTGAATCTTGAAAGCTGCGTTCAAACTCAAAATGGAGTTTTTTCCAGTCCAAAATGGAGTTTCTTCATAATTCTTTAGCTTTTCCTTATTTATTGGGGATATTGAATTTAACTGTGAGATGTTGAGACAGGTCCTGATTAGCTAGCTGCCCAGCAAACAAATTAAGCTTCAGTTTAAGAGCTTTGAAATATTCCCAGATATCATTGATGAATTGATTTTTCACTTGAATTTTAACCTTCAAGTTGTTCATATGGCAAAGAAGATCTGAGGAAATGCAAGCTATTCTGTATCTTCTAATATTTAGCACTCTACTGAACACTGTTTCTCATGGAAGAACAACACAATGTCATCTTTGAGCTGCCAAACTTGCTCGAAAATGCATTCTGCACTAAGCCACCTTACTTTCATGTTATACAGTACTTTAGATTATTCAGATTGCATGGACTGAATAAAATATCGGAATTGCTTGTGAAGAAGGCCACAAAAAAAATCTGATATATAACACAATGAAGAAAAATAACGTTATTCCCGGGATAGTTCTGATTAAAGAGTCCAAGGAATCCAGATTTTTTTCATATCATATTCGGTGCACCATATTACATATTTTTGCTATTGGCACTTTCAAAGTTAACCTTTCTCGAAACACATGAAAAATATCACATCCCATTGTAGTTCCCTTTAAAGAACGCATGCACACCAGTTTCTCAATAATTTCAAAATTCTCTTCACTAATTGAGCAGTATCATTTATATCAGTGCTTTCATCCATAACTATTGAGCAAAATTTAAATTGTGCAATTTTTGAATCTAATTGTGATGTCAAATTTTTATCAATGGCTTCGATTCTAGAAGTCACCGTTTTTTGCGATAAGCTTATAGCATCAAAATTATTTTTCATGTCTGGACATAAAACATCACAAACTTGGAGCATACATTGGTTAACTAACTCCCCATCTCCGAGAGATTTATTATTTTTAGAAATATTGTATGCTATGAAGTAACTTGCATAGGTAGTGGCTTCTTGGACACTATTTATCTTCTTGAAAAAATTTTATTGGCCTGATAATTCTTTAAATAGCCTTTTTGCATTTTGTCTTTTTTCACATTCAGACATTGCTTTGTAGTTGCCATTCTTGTGCTTGCCTGTAAAATGTTGGCTAATGTTGTATTCTTTAAAAACTGCTACAGCTTCATTGCAGATAAGACATACTGGTTTATCTTTTACAACTGTAAAATATTTCCAGGTCCATTCACCATTGAATGCACGGCACTCTGAATCAACTTTGCATTTTTAGTAGCCATTTTGGTGGTTAAAAAATTTTACAAATAACTCAAACAAGTACTAGCTGTTTAATAATTTCACCATTATTTACAATAACATTATCTGTGTGCGATCTTTTCATATGTAATTAATATTGTTAGAAATCCGCTTGTCTTCCACATATGAAGTACACTTCACCTATATTAGATTTCATATGTCTGTTCCTAGAAAAAGACAAATGCTCATTGGTCCAAATCTACAGCTATTCTATAAAGAACTTCTGCTTTCAATGTTTTACCAATTAAAACTATTTCCATCATTCGACATAGATCTACTAGTTAGAACTCTATCCGATGGCAGCATAAAACCTTCCGGCAGGCCGTAGTTTGCCCATTGCATTGCAATCAAATTTATTCATTTGATGCAATTGCTTAATGTATTGCAATAAAATTGATTCATATGCTAACAGTAGACTACAATTGTTATTATTAATAGCCTTAAAGCAAATATGAGATGCAGAACTTTTAAAATTGTTTATGTGTCTAAAATGATTATTAGTTAACAAGAAATTTCACTAACAGTTTATTTAAACAGGTTTCTTTTCAATGAAGATAATTTCTTTTCTGTTAAAAAGTTTTTTTTTTTTAAATTATAGCCTCAGAAAAATGTAATTAGATGAAATTCTTCAGTTTTAAACTTAAAGTTTGCATTTCTACTTACAAAATAATTTGTAGTAAAAGTTTTGATTCATTTTAAAAAGATTTTTAATTATAGTTTATTAATAATTTTTTATTACCAGTGAAGGAAATCCAATCCAACCCACATAGTGGATGTAAGGCTTTGTTTTATTTAATATTCTTGTACATTTAAATGCAGTTTTAGAGACGAGGAGACTCTTGAGTCAAAACAAAACTTATCTTCATAGAAAGCCTACTGAGGGATTCTATTCATTTGTGTTGAGTGAAAAGAAAAATTATGAAAACCTTTGCATGGTTGTATTTATGGTATTGTTATCTAATCCTTGATTTGACCACTTCTGATATCAGAATGCTAATGTTTATGATCGGTTTTTATATCTGGATTCTGCTATTAGCTGCAGGTACTGTAATTTTCTTTTCATTTACATTTATTGTATTTAACAATCATTTTTATTGTCTATCTATCGAATTAACTTATCTTTGCTTCTTAATTTAATGTTTTTTAAAATGTATAGTTTACAAACACTAATAAAACAGTCATTAATCACAACCATGAATTTAGACAATTGACCTATTAAACTAAGATCATAATTTTAATTAGTAAGTTTAGAAGAGGGATTCTCAACCTTTTGTTAGGAAGTTCAGCTATCAGGGTTTTGCAATGAATTTGCTTTTGCCAGTATAGTAATTTAAATGTTCTTTAGAATAAAAGAAGAACTATGTTGATTTTTTCCTTAAAATTGAAAAAAAAGTACAGCCAAATATGTATAATATCTATTAATAGTATGTATTACATATGTATGTGAGCCAAACCTTAGTCAAAAATATTATATGAATAATATTTTTGACTGAAGTTTAACTCACTTTTTTTTCCTTAATAAAAGTAGGTTTAGAAGGAAACAGATTTAATTAAAAATTTCATCTTCTTCAAAAATATACAAATTAGAAATAACAGTCGACATGTTTCAAGTGCTCAAAAACAGGCGCCCATTTTCGAGCCTTACCAGGTATGAGTGAGAAAAAGCAAAAGTAATTTAAAATATAAAACGTAAAGCTATTAACGAAAAATAGAAAAGGTGTGAAACAAAACTAGAAAAACCACAGTGGTTGAAAGAGAAACAGGTTGAGAAACAGAACAAGAAAAACCACAGTGGCAAATCAGGGTAAAATGCAATTACCGTTATTTCTAATTTGCATATTTTTGAAGCCAGTGAAGTTTTTAATCAAGTTATATCTTACCGCTTCAGTTTCTTATAATTGTTTATTTAAGATTTAATTATTGCTATTATTTATTATATTTTTACTCTTTATAAATCACTGACTCCTTTAATTTTATGACTCCTCTAATAATAATTCCTTAAACTGCATAAACCAGTTTGTCTTGAACATGTTTTAGTTAATGGACATTTTCTTTAATCACAGCATTGTTTTCAGCAGATTTCAATGTTTTGATGAATTATTAACAAAAAATTAGTACATTTTGTAATTTTGATGCTATTTTTAAGCAGAGCTCATTCTAGGCAGGGTAAACAGGGCGCAGCACCCTGTTGCCCTTTTAGTCAAAAGAATCCACCCTGTTGCCCCTGATGTAATAGACTCTAAACCCTTTCTTTCCTCGTCCCTTCTTTATTTTTTCTCCAAACTTTACAATGGATTCCTTAAATTTTCAACTCTTCTTATTTAGTTTGTCATTGCTGTCAATACATAGAAAAAGGGAAAATATAGGAAAGGAAAAATAGCCATCACACCCCCTTGTTGCACGTGTTTTAGAAAGTTTGCAGTTGCTTCCACTATCATTAAATCATAATTATTATTAATCAATTTAGTTATTTAATCATAACTACAGACACTTAAAAAACATACATTTATTATTTTATTAATATATGCAAGCATTTTAAATAAATTACTAAGTTAATTAGCTCAATAAATCGATATATATGTTATTTTATTAATAAAAATTAGTAAATATGATTGCTTTGCTACTGTTAGTAAAGTTAAAAAAATTTCTTTCACTAATTGACAATGTTTTTTCAAAGAACGTGAAAAGTTCATAGAAAGAAATTGTTGCCCTTTAAGAATAATAATGCCTTTTTTTTAAACGTTTGCACCCTGTCCTTTTTTCTGCCTAGAATGAGCTCTGAATTTTAAGATTTATTTATATTTTAAGTATTATATTTATATATTTTAAGTATTTTTTATTTATTTATTTTTTTCAAAGTGTTGTTGTAGTTATTTTAAAAAACTGAAATAAACTTTAAATGTAAATTACGTAGTTTTACCAGGGAAGACAACAAGTTTTCCGATCGCTAACACTTCGTAAAACTGAGTTGTTTTTTTTCTCGTTTGAAGTGTAAACAAAATCTATAAATGTAAATAAAACACATGACACATAATGTAAAGGAATGTTTATGTAACTCATATACACATAATTAATAAGTTCACATTAGGAAGAAATGGAATTGGAATGCTAAACATCATGTTTTTCCATATATATTTATATATATGTGGTGAGGTATGTTTATTAACTATAAGCTCATCATAAAAAAAATATTTCTTAGAGAACATGTAATACCAGTATTCTTATGAATAGAGCTTAGAAAAATTTATTTTTCACATTGTTTGAGACACTTTTATATGCTTTATTTTACAGTGCTTATATGTGAAATGGCTTATGTAGATAGCTGCATTCTGTGCTTAGCATTGTTGAACATTAAGATATTGTTAAATATTAAGACATCGTTTTAGCTCATTTTAAATTTCAAAGTGCAACTTTTTTTTCAATTAACTGAAAATCCATTGTTAATTTTTGATTTTTTTTATTGTTATTTTATGATAATAAAAAAAATCTATCAGTCTATCTTAATTTTTTTCTTCTTATAATGTGTTAAAGCTATATTTTCTAGTTATTAATTATATTCCCATAGTTATTCTTGTAAATGATATCAAATAAAAATGCATCAATAAAATTATTTTTGCAAAAATAATTTATTGATTCACTTTTACTTAAATTATGAAAAATTCGTCAAAAAATTATGTTTGCAAATTAACTTAAATTATTTTTAAAAATGGCATTATTTTCTTAGTATATATGGTGTAAAATAGCTAGGTTAGAGTATAAATTTTCAGTAATTCGGCTGAAATTTCAATAACTTTGGAAGCTTTTGTAGCCTTGTTTCAAAATTTTCTTCACAATACTAGGTTAGATTATGAATTTTCAGAACTGAATATCTGTAATTTCTATAATCTTAGAAGTTTTTGTAGCCTTATATCAAAATTTTCTTTGCAATATTTAAAGTAGCTAATTCGTACCAAAGTTCAAATTACATCTTTTCATGTAAGCTAACCGAAACTCCATTATTCATTTTTGGATTTATCATTAGATTACTTATAGATTATTTATATCAAAGAAAAATTTTGAGATCTCTCTATTCTTTTAAAGCTTTTTTGGTAAATTGACCATATTTCCTTTGTTTATGACTTAAATTATATCAAACAAAAATATGCCAGTATAGTTGATTATAAATTTGAGCATTTCTTTATAAAGTAAATGAGCTTGCTTAGATTCTTTTTTTTTCTCTGGAAAACTATTAGAAATTTCTTAATTAATTTTTTGAAGAATATCTGTTTTGATGCCTTGTTGTTTTTTATGGAATTGATTAAAGTGTTTTTACCTAACCACCGATTTTAGTTTATGTAATATTTGTACCTAAAGTATGTTTCATAAAATGTATTTAATTCTTTAAAGCGACATATTTTTATTAATTACTTTCATTAATATATTAATAATTAATTATAATTATATACATTTTAATTAATAATTCCAATAAGTCTTTTGCATAGAGCCCATTTTGTAATTATGACTCACGAAATTTATTTCAAATGTAATGGTATGATTATAGCTATGATAAAGTTTATATTCCAATGGTATGTTAGGAATTAATATTAGTTTTTCTCTGCGCCAATGAAAAACAGACTGTCAAAATAGATTTAAACTTTTCCAACTGACAATTTATTCAAAAATAGTCTAGATTTAATTTTATGAGTTAAGATAAATCATATGGCACATAAAAGGAATGCAACTATCTGATACCATTTTATTAGATTTGTTTTGTTAGCAACCAAACTAAACAAGACATTTTATACTTCAATGGCATTCATTAGTTATACAGCAGAAAAAGAGTTGAGGCATCTAAATATAATGGACTTGAAACTAAAACATTTGGCTCTTTTTTTAAAAATTTAGCATCCCAGAAATCTCTTCCTCATAGATGTTAGGTTGAGTCAAAAGTTTCTTCCACAATTAAAACTAAAGTACGCTAAGGAACTCACTAGAACAACAAAATGATGTTAAAGTAAAAACTTCAATTCTATATTTTAATAGAAATAAGTTTTTTAGTAAATTTGAATTGTGACACCTCATTCTCAAAATTACCTATCCAATCTAAATGGCTAAATGCTTATTGTATGAGGTGCCACAACATTAAAAAATGTCACAATTTTATCCTTTTAAAATAAATTATCAAAGACAATATAATTCAAGAGGATGAAATTGTATATTAATTTTTTGGATAACAACAAAAATGATCTTAAAATTTCCTTCAACCTGCATTGAAAATAAAGCATAATTTAAATTCATAATAAAAAAAAAATCTTTTTTATTAATTGTAGAAAAAAAAATTTACCGAAGTTTAGTCTTATGGACTTAGGTCTGTATGAGTTGAAGAATTATCTTCAGACTTGATAACGGATTTATAAGATCTAAAAAAAATATCATTCAAGAAGTATATTTACATAATATTTTTTTTTTAAAAAGATTTCTTCAAACCTGATATCTATCTATAGGAAGTACCTAAAATAAACGTATTAGGCTCTCTAATTTTTAATGAAAATAAGCTTTGAATTTATTTACTTTGTAGGGATAGGTCTATATTAGTTTAAGAAATTATCCTTAAATCTGATAGTGAACAGTAGAAAGTTGATAAAAGAAACTTTTGACTCAACCTAATATTTTCAGATTAACAGTTCAGGAGCAGGCAAGACTAATGTAATAACTTCTATTGATGCTAACAAACATATAACTTTGCATGTTCATGCAAATATACCCTGATTTATTCATTTTTTTTTAATTTTAGTATCACAAATGTAATCATAGCTAATGACTTATTTATTAACTTAATATTTAAATAAAAATATGGAACTGTTATTTATTCAGAAATCAGGGAGGAAAATAGTAACTAACATTTTTTTAGTGCTTATTTCCAACTTTCTTGTTGTCTGAATATTTTTCAGTGAGGAATTACAATGTTTAGACACTAATGTTTTCTGAAATTTGAGATCCTAAGAAATCAGTGAAGTAAGAACCAAATAATTTAAATTTCAAGCCTGTTTTATTTTTTTCTAAATCAGGAAGTGTTACTTAGTGATTCTTAACATTTGGAATGATAGTTATGGAAATTAACATTTACATTAGTGTAGAGTTTTACCATAAGATTGTATTGGAGCAAAAACTTAACAAGTTTTATTAGGGTTGCCACCTTTTTAATACCAATGTGAACAATTGATGAGTAAATGTGAATTATATTTTGTATTGGATAGATTAGCAACAAAATTAATTTTGCTTGGTTGAAATGTTTCTTCCAAGTTCTGAGGATAAGGCTGATTTTTTTTTCTAAAATTTTAGATTTGTGAATACTTACCAAATTTTGAAGCAAACTAAAGATTTTCTTTCATCCATAGACAGCATCTGTTGATTATGTTTCTTTCATGATTATGTTGATTTAAAGATACCAATAAAATGCTTATAGCTGTTGTATTATCAAAAAAGTGAAACATTTGTTTACATTGCTAAGAGCTGTAAATCTCAACTTAATATTTACTACAATAAAAGCATTGGGAACAATTATTTTACAGCTTTAATTACATTGACATTAAGATACAAGACAAAAGCAGTAAAAATTTCTGGTGAAAACGATTTCATTTTCTTCAGTTCAATGAAAACCGGTGGCAACCCTACGATTCCTTTTCTTCATATGAAAAAATTGTTCAATGAAAATGTTCAAAACTATATTCTCTCTCATTTCACTTAAATGTCCGTAGTCTTTTTTTTTTTATTCACACACGCACACACACAACGTTATATATTATTTAGAATCAACTTCAGCAGTCTTTTGCAAATGTTTAAGTTCAAATAGGCCGCGACACCAGCAGTGAAAGATTCATTCTAACCTTTACTTTCCCGAGTTCTGCACGATTCACAACATTGGAGGTGGTAGCGACTGAGGCGGCACAAGTGTAAGGTTTTTGCTAAGCTGCAGTAACTGGAACGGTCAGTGCAGTTGTCTGAAAAAGAAAAACAAATAGATATGCTTTTACATGGAACGATATACAATAAACGTTCTTGATGTTTAATTATAAAGATAAAACTCTTGCAAATCCAGAGATCTAATGTATAACACATTACATATCATTCTGCATTTTTTGGAGAACCATCTTTAGGAAATAAGAATCTTACTTTTGACGACCCAGCAATCCTTGAGCTGTATTTGAGAATCGTTTTGTCATAAAAGCGCGTTATTTGAGATTCCGAAACGCAAACTCTCAAATATATGACGAAAATGTCCTCATCGCACCACCTCAATTCTACGAAAGTAATTCTTAACTTGACGAAATTAGAATGTCGAAATACGACGTATTTCTAAGAAGAGACAATAGCTATTTCGTCACTTTGATGAAATGTTCGCTTGGAGCATATAACAGGAAACGGTTTTGTCAAAAAAGAAAGTTTCCTGAAATTTGAGCATCCGTTTTTTACAGTTCAGGTCAGAGAATATGGTTGAAATAATGAGACAGAATTGCAAAATATAATCGCTGAGACGACAAAAAGTGTTTATCTATTGCCGATTTCTTTCTTAATGATACAGTGAAGTAGTAGTGTTGAAATAATGAGATTTTGTAACAAATCGAAGATTATTAAAAAAGACTCAAACCTGTGTTTCTTTGTAGTTTGCAACCTGTTCACCGCGTTGGAGAAAAATTAAAAACTCGAGCTCAGCTTTGTGGTACAACATGTCTATCTTACATCCAAGCTGTTCTGGCTGTTAGTCACAAAATAAATCCAACTGTGATGGAAGATGATAAAGTTGCTCATCTTATGAAAGGAGTTTCAGAAAATGTTTATCAGGTGCTACTTAAGACGATCTAACAATTTCCTCTGTTTTTATTGAATGATGCCAGCATGTAGATCAACAGCAATCGCTTTGCAAAAAAAGAGATTTTTCCCTTCCCTAGCTTTGGCATCTGAACCACGCAGATTCCTTGGAAGATGTTTTACGTAACGAGGTTATTAAGACGTGAAAACCAATGATGGATGCAAATTCTAACTTGAACCACAAAATTTTATTGCTCACCTCCCTAACTCTGCCGCAGTTACACAGTCCGTCACAATTACCTCCTAGCAAGAATGATGTTTGGAGTACCTGTTTGTTGTGACAGAAAATCCAGGTCACGTGTATAGATTATTGCAGAGAAAGCGATGAAATATCAGACGATTTCCCAAAAAAATTCTGAAGTAGATATGGAAAACGATAATGGACGTTTAAGCCTCTCTTCTAGAAATAAGTCCCCTCATCCTTAAACGAGGACGTTTCCCTAAACTCATAGGTCACCCTCGCCGTATGAAACGTCATAGACATCAAAGTTGATTCCCTTTAAGAAATTTTGTGGAAAACGACACCATCAAGCAAACTTCGTCAGAGGTAGGGCTGCTGAGGGAAAAAAAACCTCCAACTACGTTAATCACGCAGATCAGAGAAAATAAAAATTGAAGTTATCATGGAAAGTAAACCAGTACATGTTGGTTCTGGTGCATCTTTTTAAATTATTTCTAATGAATTTTTCGAACTGTGTTGCGTTAAACTATACTAGCAAATAAATCAAAAGGGCTGCTAAATGCTGAGAACTGAAAGTTTATTAATCCAGTCGTACGTGGTACTGTACAAATAATTTCAGACAAAATAGAACACTTATACGTCTTTATAGTATTAGAAAATTGTAGTAATATGGGGATGGAATTTCTTATAAAAGTGTATTAGTTGCGGAATTATTACTAGACGAATCTCGGAAAAAAGTATTGGAAGCTGAATAAATTGAAGAATCAGAAGATTTTCGTGTTTGTGTTGCTGTGCGCGAGATATCTCTGTACTCTAGATACGAGATATCTCGTCCTCTTTTCTTTTGATTTTAGAGTTCGTAGAAATCGTGGCGCAGAGGGTTGGGATAAGCCGGAAGTGAAAGTGTTGAAGAATTAACTGATAAACATCACCTTCGTCAGTTGGACTCTAGAGAAAATTTTTCAAAAGTCATTAAACAAGTTCTTTTGGATAAACATTTGACTTGCATGTTGACACCAGAATTGACTTCCCAAAAAAATGTTTGACGAAAGCTTTAAATTGTCGAACATGTTTCATGAAAATTTCACCTGGCAAACAATTTTTCCAATATCATAAATACCAGAAATACCTTCTCTACAGAGAAGCCCCCAGAGAGACGAATAAACACGAAGTATATATTATGTATAGAAGAGAAAAATATGCAAGTTGGAGCTTTAGTGTTGACTATTGCTGATTAAGTAAGGCGATGAAGAAAGAGATCTATCTATTAACCAGAGTTGACGCTTTCTTAGACTGTTTGAATGGAGCTAACCACTTTTCTTCAATGGATCTCGGCTCGGGTTATTGGCAAGTTGATGTAGCTAACAGAAAAAAACGGTTATGCCCGCTGGGGTTTACAACGAGCGAATAGACAATTTGTTACCGACATCTACTAAAATCGATGATATAGTGATATTTTCATCTTTCAAAATAGTGAGAAAAAAAGTTATCGCATATATGCATCTCAGATGCTAACACAAGGTGAAAAGAACTATTCAGTTACAGAGCGCGACTGTCTTGCCGTAATTTGGGCTATTAGTAAGGTTCGTCCTAATTTGTTTGGACGTGTCTTTACTGTCATCACAAATCATCACTCATTTTGTTGGTTTTCTGATCTAAAAGACCCATCTTGCAAATTGGCAGTGTGCCTACAAGAATATAACATAACAGCCTTATATAAATCAGGACGCAAGTATTCAGGTACCCATTACCAGCAGTTAAAGACGAAAACCAAATTGCAGCTCTTTCCAATATCGCTGAACAAGATAGAGACCAGGAGATAACACAAATGAAAGACAACATTAACCAGGCGAATACCGATTCGTTTCGATTATTGAACGGAGTTCTCTCTAAGCTATGATTCTGCTGGTCGACGATAGTTACTGGTTATCCTCTAACATTTACGAAAAGAAATTCAACATTTCCATGCTACACCGATTACAGGACACCTGTATTTCATTAAAACACTAGATAGATTGAGAAGAAGATTCTATTAAACTCTTCTTTATCGAAGTGTTCAAGGACGAAAAAGTTTTCCCCAATTGCCTCCTGGACAACTGATGTCGCCCATACCACCAGCGGAAGAACTTTTTTGTCAAAATGGAATTGGAGGGTCGGAATAGCCTGGTTGGTAGGACACTGGGCCCATGCCCAAGAGGTTGTGGGTTCGATCCTCGCCAACCGAAAACTTCCCGTGTAGTAAATAGTGATTGATGCATGTTAAATCTGTCGAGTCTCAAAATCTTCCATGTTCCCATAACAAATCATAACTCTGGGAGTACTGATCCAGGAGTTTCCTTGTCTTCTGGATTGGTTCAAAATTTCAAGGCTACGGAGTTGAACATTAGTAGTCGTAAACCCAAAATTGGGTCGGCTGTTCAACGACGGTTATAAAATAAAATTCGGACTCTTTCTGAAGTTAGCACAGGGAAATAGGTGGCTTGTGGTATGTACCGATTATATTACACGATTCGTTAAAACGAAAGCACTTCCTTGTGTTGAGGCACTCGCAGTAGCGATAGGTTTCCTCTTTAGAATATTTTGCTAAAAGATGGTTCATCAAGGGTCCTGCTATCAGACCGGGGAATTGTGTTTTTCAAAATTGGTGGCTGAACTTTTGAAGCTCTGCATTGTTAATCATCACAAAACCCCATAGAAAAATGTAACAAGACTTTACCTGACAACTCTATGTGGATGTTGAACAGAAAGAATGAGGTGTAATCTTGCCCTTCGTCACTTTTGCTTACACTACTCTCAAACGAGAGATGACTGACTTCCCCCATTTTTTTCATGGATGTGAAGCCGTAACTATACTAGATACCTTGTTTCCAATTGCGACGAGAATTCGAAGTTGGTTGTTCTACTCAGCTTGTTTGTAAGACAGAAAAAACTCCACAACTAGCTCATCTGCGCATCATCGATCTTTAAGAAGAAGATTTGGAAATACGTGCGATTTGAAGCTTGGCTATGTTTCCTACATGTCAGGTGATCTCGTAAGGATTTTTAGACCTGTTAGAAAAATTCTTGAAGTATTTTAAGCTCTTTAAAATTATTTAAAAAAAACTATCTGAAGTTACGAAGGTAGTGAAGGATACTAGCGTGTCAAACACAGGAGGACTGATATAGTTAACGTATTGCGTATGAAGCCATATCACGCTACTTTGAAACAATTAGATGATGATATAACACCTTACCAAAGAGAAGAGATGGTGCATAAGAAAATGATCGTAGGAAAAATGCCTGTCCTGAAGAAAGTCCATTTGTTTCTCAATTTGATGAGAAGTGGTCTGAATGTAAGGGTCCAATGACGTGAAGTGTGCAAGCAATTAAATGAAACTCAGCTGTACTGAAATTCTATGATTACTATCAGAGACGTAAGAAGCATGTGAATATATAATTTTTTTTAGAACGGTCGTTGAACAGCCGACCCGATTTTGGGTTTACAACTACTAATGTTCAACTCCGTAGCCTTGTAATTTTGAACCCAATCCAGAAGACAAGAGAACTCCTGGATCAAGTATTGGGAGAAATTTACCTTCCTAGCTTTAAGAATATCGAAATCTTACAAATAGATCATGAAGATGGAGTATTCTTTATTACAAAATGTTAAAATGAGTCGCTTGATTTTACAACAATTGGTTGATTTAATAAGAATTTTTTTAAATTGATTTTAGTTTAAAATTCCAATTCCTTTAAATCCATAAGAAAGGAAAAAAAATTCGGTTATTTTAAAATTTGAGTTTATTTACTCATTTTAATTATACAGTTTATGTTGGAAGAAATTTGTTTCATGAAATCCACGTACCTCTTATTTTCTTTAACGTAAGTTTGATTTTTTCACAGGCCCATGCGCATTTAATTGGAACTGGCGCATTCACACTTAAAATACGCATGCGCAATTATTTTAAATCT